GGCTCAAGAATAGGGGTAAAAACATGTGTAATTAATGGTCTATTAGTATGCTAAGGCATTTCATGCGGATCGAAATCGACAATGATTTGCTTACGGCAATGGCGGAGCGATTGCGCCCCGAAAACCCAAAAGTTCCACCTTCCGGAGGGGGAAATGACAATCACCCTCAAAGACGTAGCGATCCTCACCGGGCTGCTGATTTCTGGAGAGGCCATCATTGGGAGCACTACCAAACCCGAAGGAGGTTGGGGGCCGCTCATTCGTGATCGTTTGGGCTTTGACATGCCGATCACCACACCAATTCAAGGACGGGGACATCCACCATTGAATGCGGGACAAGTGTCAGTCCCGTGGCTCGTTACTCACGTCCAAAATGAGGTGGCCATCGACAACGAGACATCGAAAGATCAAGTGGAGCGCTATGCACGCATCTACCTCATTTGTTTGGTCGGTGGATTTCTGTTCCCGACAAGTCAAACCGGTGGATTCAAGGCATATGGTTGCCATTGCTCCTTGGTGATTGGGACGCAATAGGGGAAAAGAGTTGGGGATCGGCCGTGTTAGCTGGCTTATACCGGGAGCTGTGTACTTGCTCGAAGTTGGGAGCGAAACAAGCTGGTGCTGCGATGTTCATCCTCCAGCTCTGGGTATGGGAGCATCTTCCAATGTCCGCAGATGATGACCCACGTCTATATCTGGTTGTGCTTCGATAAGGTGCTTAATAGTTCTCCCAACTTTCTTTGCTTTAAGTTGCCTGTGATCCTGAAAACGTATGGACGAGGAGCAAGTGTGGTTGGTCTCAGCTTTTCGAATCACCCAAGCACCCTTTCTCTTCATATTTGCAACCCGCAGTTGCCACGTACAACCCTCTGTATCATTCTTGCATATGACATGTAATTGTTTACTGTCAGAATATTTTACCTTCCACTCGAAATTGCGCCTCAAGGCCTCTTCGGTAAAGGCATCCTGCACAGCGTCCTTCGATGAGAACGCCATACCCACCTCCAAATTGGCCATCGGATTATACACTGGCATAGGGAAAAAGTCGGGGGCATCATTCTAACTATGTAAAAATTGAGTTGGAACCTGTGTGTAGTATGGTGTCGGTGCCTCACGAAATACCGCCTCGTCGTCATCATCAGTATCTTCCTCCTCGCTCACTGATCTCAAATCTTCCTCAGTTTCATCGTCGGTCGAGTCGAATGGATAGCTCGGCCCAGAAGGATCAATATGACCACCATCACCAACATCGTCTTCTCGCTCATGTGAAGTACGCCCTGCTCGAATGGTATTCTCGATTTCAGCCCACTCAGGCCCCCAAGCAGGCCATTGAACGCCATCGGCAGGTTGATCCTGTTGCGAGTATTCTTCCGATGGCATCCATCCTGCACTACTACCTCCACCGTAGTTGATTGAACTACCACCCTCTCCGTAACCTCCTGTATAACCACCTCCTTCATAGTTGCTCGAACTACCACCCCATCTGTACCCTCCTGCAAAATCATCATCATAAGAATACTGGTGAGAATGAGTTTCACTGACCGCCTCGGTCTCAACATACACCTCTGCTTGCCGCATCCCGTTATCGCTTAGGAACTGTAACATCCTCGTAACCGCGTCATCATCGTTTATGACAACTTCTTGGTACACAAGCCCGCCAGTACTCATACATGGATACCGGTAACTAATTTTATCAAGTCTCGCCTGTCCATTAGTACAAACCCTGTCTGCACAAATATCACAGAGTTCTTGAAAATTGAATCGCGACTCAATTTTCAGCATAGTGGATACACTGTCCTCATAATCAATCTCTATGTCAGAGTTTGTAACCCTTCCATTCCACCGAATAATAAGCTGAAGCTTCTTGAATTTACCCATATCTAGAATTTACAATAAGTAACTATTAGCATAATTCCAGCAATTCATAACATCGGCCATATTTTCTACGATACGTAATTCATAACATAACAATATAACTATTAAACACAACCATTAGGCTACAATACAAAAATTAAATCATACTGAAAATTCATGTTCTGTGTATGTTGCTCGGTTTTGGTTGCTGAAATTTGAAGAGGGGGAAGGATTACATTTTTACAACTGCTGGTGAGAGTTGTATATAAAGGAAAATCGGCCAGACTTCACCGTTTTTGTCACAAACGGTGAACAACATCACCGCGTCTGTCTCAAACGGTGAAGATTAGGTGGTTGTGACCTAATTTTCATCTAACAGGGGTGGGAAACGTGGGAAACAATCAGCGCCTTAGCCTGGGGCGGTGAAGATGTTCCCCGCTTTTCCCTAAAACAGTGACGTTTTCACCGCTTTTAATTTACACGTAGATGTCTTCACCGTTTTTGTTAAACGCGGTGAACACAAAAACGGTGAACACGTCATCGTTTTAATTCTTCACCGCGTTTAACAAAAACGGTGAACACGTCATCGTTTTAATTAAAAACGGTGAAATGTTCACCGTCTTTGTCAAACGCGGTGATTATATTCACTGCCTTTGTCAAAAATGGTGAATGTGAAACATGTGTATTTTTGGAATTTTTTTTATAACTTGTGTATTTTGGAATTTTTTTAAGAACTAGTGTATTTTGGGATATTTTTCCAAACGAGGCCATAGATTTTTGGGAATCACAATCCAAAAGATGCTGAAATGAGATGGCTCCATTATGTGACAGACAACTAACTAGCTCGGCTCTAGAGTCTAGACACATGAACATGCGTTCAAAGTTTGTTGGTTGGGCAAGAGAAAAGAAAAGATGCCAATTGGGTCAATCCATTTCTTCGTCTTCCACAGTCCACGCTCTCCAATCTCTATCCAGACTTTCTATTTCGACCCATTTGGTTTGGCCGATGGCTCGCTCGCATCGCATTTTCATATTATTTCATATATGTCGGCTGCCGCCCACCATTTATCACATGAGTACAGTACAGGGCCTTCCCTCGTTCCTATGTTTACTCGCTCGAGAATATTAATTTGTTTTACGCTCTCATGGGAATTTCACAAGTAATTTAGTGGCATTAAACTAACAGGTTTACAAAAATAATAATTTTATACTGCTCATTTATATATTCACGTGTGTTCATGCATCGAACGTTTCGACTCGAAGAAATATCAATTATCAACAATTAAGGAAAATGATCAAATTACTATTAATTTACTAAATTTTGAATACAAATAGTGTTCTAAAGTCAATATAAATTCTGATCCTAAAATAAATTGGATTTGCTATGGTGACTTGAAAGGCACCGTAACTTGGACAAAACGGTCGATCTGTTCATTGATGAGGTCGAACTATTTGGACAAAACGGTCGACCTGTTTAATGATGAGGTCGACCTATTTGGACAAAACGGTCGACCTCTTCACTGATATGATCAGCCTATTTGGATAAAATGGTTGACCTCATTGTTGGAATGGTCGACCAGATATATTATTTTTCATTTGCTATGTTCAACAAACGGTCAACCTCTTCCACTAAAATGCACTATACAAAAAAATGGTCTACCACTTCCATCAACTGATCTACCTCTTTCTCCAAGCAGTCCACCTCTTTCAATAATTGATCCACCTGATGAACCATTCCTAGTGATATCATCATATATATAATTAGAGTCCAATAACAATATATATGCTTTCTAGTTAGAGATTTAAAATTAGTACAAAAGCTGCAAGTATAGATGACAAGTTTCTCGAGTGAATGTTCTCTCGTAGATTTGAAAAATGTACCCGTCAGCGTCGGTCAAGTCATTAGGAAGAGATTACCTATTTCCTACTTTGCAGTTTTCATTGCACACGGTTACACATATTTATTTCTTATGTTGCGTTACTACAAAAATAATTTTATATTGTTGGTCTCCTATTGTCCATTATTTTCCTAATGTAAGTATAAGGTAACTGTGTTATCTGGTCGAGTGGTCGCCGAAAGTAGAGATCTGTTAGAAACCCTCTTCTTAGGGCTTTCTAGGGACTGATCTTTGGCACCCGCGATTACTCGTACGAATAAGGATTTGGGGAATTGGGGATAGAAATTAGGGATTTAGGTAGAAGAATTGGGGATTAGGGATTGGGGAGAATTGGAATAGAATGGCCGAGGCCTTTTGGGGAAGAGAGGGACGAGAATTGAGAGAGATTAGAGACTAATGTTTGAGAGAAATTTCTGTAATATTATTCTTGACTCCTTATGACATAAACGTTGAGTACATATTTATAGGGAAAATAAGGGAAAACCCTACTAAATAACCTAATTCGATTATATATCAACTAACCATAACAATAATTATCCTATTATAATTAATAAGAGAAACCCCAATAGGGCGAGTTTCTAACAATCTCCTCCCCTTCAAAACGACCTTGCCCTCAAGGTCGTAGCCTACTTTCGTCTTCTTGACCTTCCGCTTCCTTCGTTTACAATTTCGCTCCAACTCGCGAAGTACTTCTTTTTTGACAGCTCCAACATCCTTCAACTCTTCACGAACCACGTGACACCCTTCACACTCTCCATAGCCTAACAATTCTTCCTCCTCTCTTTCGAAATCCACGAAATAAGAGTCGATGAACTGTTCTTCTTTATGCTCTAGCTTGAGATCTTCTAGGATATGCTCGATAAATTCCTCCACGTGCATGGTGGTGAAGACGAGTTCAAACTTTCCTCACTCTTTTTTTCCTCCACTTTCGGATCGGCCCACATGGATTTGAAAGAAAGAAGTATGGCCCAAAATAATTTGAAGCTCTTGTGCACTCCTCCTCTTTAGTATCTAGTTTGGGACTTGCTTATCGAAAAGCCCACTTGCTAATCCCACCAAACTCTCTTCTTCCTTTAAGTAAAGTCCCTGCAAAATAAATACAATGACACAACCTATTGAATTTCGGCCCCAAGAGAACCCTCCATGTGGATCTTCTTGGCCCAACCAAAGCCCAGCAAGCCCTCCTCTGTGCGGCCCGGTCAGGCTCTCCATCAGCCCAAGGTTTCTCCAATTTGGGCTGTCCACCTCCTACTCCTCCATCCCAAATGCCGACCCACTCTGTAAATACTCTCGGCCCAAAATGAGCCAATGAGGTCTCTTTTCTTTTTCCAACCTTGTCGCTGGATCGTTTGAACTTTCAGACAAGCCCGTTTGGTCCAACGGAGATGCCACGTGCCTAGGGTTCACGAGACAAAAGACGTCGCCGTTGCCGCTCTGCTTCTCTTCTGTCGGTGGCCTTCCCGGCTTCGCCGCCAGCTTCTCAGGCGATTTCTCCTTCCTCTGGTTCGCTGGCCTTCCCTCCGCCACCATTTCCTTGTAGACGACAACCGCTTTGTTTAGTTCTCCGGCGAGTCCTCCGACATCCTCGGCTCCGCTTCGTCCTCGTCCGGAGAGATGCTCGCCAGAGGGGTGGACGACGGCCTCACTCCGGCGACTCTCGTCCCACCTTTACCTCTGCGTTGGTCGCGCCGTTTCGCCATTCTCGTGCTGATTTCCCCGCTCCCTTTAGTCCGAGACTTGCTTGTTTGGGTGGATGGCGATGGTGGAGCTCCGGTCATAATGGCTTTCGCCTCAGCCATCGATTCCCCCTTTTGGGTTTGCCCTCCACCTTCATCCGCAATCGCCTCGCCTCTACTCTCGCAATGACCTGCAAACTGCAAACCGAGAATGAGGATACAACGATGACCACGACGATCGATGTGGGTTTGTTTCCCTCCGGGCTGGCGGCCGGTGACGAGAGAACGGCCTGGCCCCGTTGCCCATCGGCAAAGCTCGATCCCTTCTTATGGAATCGCCAGTTTGGAACGCGACTCCGCGTTCTTAGTCTCAACGTGCCTCCCGCCTGTGGTTCTTCTACAGAGGCGGCTACTTTCGCCACTTCGAGGGTAGGAACAAAGGTGGCAACCTCGTTCATGTCCTTCTTGAGCCGGCCTTCTGCGACTTCGATTGCAGTGGTAGTCACGACCTCATCGGCAGTTTCCAACAGTGGTGATGGCACTTCTTTCATTGGTTCGACGAAGGTGGTCGTTGCCGCTAGCTCCTCCATCGTCGCCAATGTCAAGTGCGGCTCGGGTCCATCCGCTACTTCCTGCTCGATTTGGAACGCAGATTGTTCCAACCACTCTTCGAAATCTAGTTATGCGACCAGCAGTTCGATTGCAGTGCAAGCTGCGACTGGAGGTGAGATTGGAATCCTCTTCGTTCTTGGTTGGTGAAGATTGTTCGCAGCTTCCAATTCCATTTTTAGAACTTTTGCAAGTTCTCTCATTGAGAACCCTTCGAATCTCGACATGGCCCTAGTACGAGTGCCTATAACCGGGCTCTGACACCACTATTAGAAACCCTCTTCTTAGGGCTTCTAGGGACTGATTTTCAGCACCCGCGATTACTCGTACGAATAAGGATTTGGGGAATTGGGGATAGAAATTAGGGATTTAGGTAGAAGAATTGAAGATTAGGGATTGGGGAGAATTGGGATAGAATGGCCGAGGCCTTTTGGGAAAGAGAGGGACGAGAATTGAGAGAGATTAGAGACCAGGGTTTGAGAGATATTTCTGTAATATTATTCTTGACTCCTTATGACATAAACCCTGAGTACATATTTATAGGAAAAATAAGGGAAACCCCTACTAAATAACCTAATTCGATTATATCTCTACTAACCATAATAATAATTATCCTATTATAATTAATAAGAGAAACCCCAATAGGACGGGTTTCTAACAAGATCATTTGCCAAAAGAGATATGTAAACCATTTTGCAGAATCGGTAAACTGTTTGGCGGAAGCAATCTACCTCCTTTAACAAGCAGTTGTAAGTTTATGGTAAGTGTGTCACATGTCGACCCATTGCCAGAAGCGGTAGACCGGCTGCCACGAGTGGTATACCACTTGGTGGAAGAGGTCGACCACTTAAGGTAATTATGTCATCAGGTCAACCCATTTTCGAAGCGGTAGACCGGTTAACTCAAGTGGCCGACCACTTAGTGGAAGAGGTCGACCACTTGGAGGTAAGTGTGTCATCAGGTCAACCCATTTCCGAAAGTAGTAGACCGGATGACTCAAGTGGTAGACCACTTGGTGGAAGAGGTTGACCGCTTGAAGATAAGTGTGTCATTAGGTCGACCCATTTCCGGAAGTGGTAGACCGAATGACTCAAGTGGTAGACCAGTTAGTGGACAAGGTCGACCATTTTCTTGGAAAGTGGTCGACCACTTGATGGAAGAGGTCAACCGTTTTCTCCAATAAATTGATATCCCTATCCCGAAATATTTTTGTACGGTTTCGGTATTCCCACATACCATATTAGTTACCTTTGCAGTTAATAATTAAATATACACATAAATAAATAATGGTTCTAACACCTCTAATCCTGAACATTTTTATATGGTGCAGGCTTGTAGGTTTAATCCCATGATTGAAACCTTGAAATGAGAAGTTGAGATGAAAAAGTTTAATAAGACTAATCAAAGGTGTCCATTTGGGACTAGGACTAAGCAAGAGTCTTGAGTTTGCATAAAGCTAAGCTAGAGACAAAAAAAAAAAAAAAAAGAAATGGTTACATCTCAATTTCTTGCTCTTAGTAATCTTTGATTCAATGGAGTGGAGGCTGGGAAACGATAATGAGAGTGCCCGCTTTTTGGTGTTATGAAAATAACAAGAGATGGATCGAGAGACGAGAGTGACTTACGAAAATTTGGAAGCTAAATTTGAATTAGATGGGGGCTTTCAAGTTGTCAAAGTGTGAGAAATGACTAGATGTCGTGGGTTATATTTAATTAACGGTAAATTTCATATCTCATATATACCAATCTTAATCTCATAATTTCGAATACTAAATACCACAGCAAAATCAATCTCAATATAAATTCCTAAAAGATAACTCAATATTCGATAATACGAAACAATGACAAATTCGGTACAATAGTTTGTATATTTCAAATACCGATACCAAACTTTCAATCTGGTATAATAAATAGTGAGCTTCATTTATCATTCCAACCATGTTGTATAATGATATTTCCTTTTCCTATTCTTGTTCGATAAATAGTTAACAGCCTATTAAACTGAAATTAGCATTCAGACAATTTGGACAAAAAAAAAAGAATATGGATGAAGTGACTATCACTCAAACTTAAGTAACAAACTATAGAAGTTTAGAGACCTATTTGTTTATTGTTAGTGACCCTTTAGCCTTCAGGTTATTGACCAATTAAAATAACTCAACCTCTAAACTTCTTTTGAGGAACTTTTCTGTCGATATGTTCCTTCTCCTCCAAACCAAATTCCGTGTTTTTCAATGCCCTTCTTGAGTAGTTTTTAACCGTCTCGGAATTGTGCTCTGAAACCAAAGTTTAGTTAGGTGTGATTGCAAGAATAATTAGTAAAACGTGCCCACTAATTGAAGCATAATACATGTAAGTATTCCTAGGTCAAATTAGACTTTGAATAACGCGTGTCTAACATTAACCTCGTTTGTTTACAGTATTCGAGACGTCGGGCGATCCATCCATTAAAACGGTCTGTCCAATTCAGTCCAAATATTATATAACGAATTTAGCAAACTTTAAATCAATATATTACTTTTCGCTTTGGCGCGCATGATAAATAATATGATGGCAAACTACACATGTATAGTCATAACTGTCACTTTTTTTTACAAATATAGGCATGTCTATTCGAAAACACGAAATAGCCCAAAAAATGGAGAGTAGTGTGACAAATCTAGCCAAAACCATTAGAAACTTTAACACCGTCTGTTAGGGCTGGGAAACGGTGCGGTCCGGTCCAGACCAGACCATATATACGGTCTATGGTCCAGACCTAGAGGCTGAAGTATAGACCAGAGACCAGACCACAGACTATACGGTCCAGTCCAGACCACGCCTGTGCGGTCTGGTTCGGTCTGGTCTGGTCCAGATAGACCACACTCAACAAAAAATGAATAATTTGTTTAGTCAACCACACAAAAAATTGAACCAATAACCAAGAAAAATAATTGGTATTTGCCTTAAAACATTAATCCTAACATGCATGAATAATTTTGATACCCTAAATCTTAGTACATAACAAAGATACAAAGTAAAAGCATCCAAACTTGCACCATAACGTCATAAATATTAACATAATGTCATATGGAGACACGATTAGCTCTACTCTCTGGTTAAATGTGGTTGTGAATGAAGGAGAGACGAGATTCACAAACTAAGTTTGAGACTTGGGTGTCGTTGTGGGAGTTGGGAGAGTGGTCGAATGGGATGTTAACACTTATTGACATGTCGGTTGGGTCCACGGTTTGGTTCGGTAAACCACGGTCTTGACCAGACCAGACCAAGAGATCAAAACATAAAATAATACAGACCATGGACCAGACCAGACCTTACTTAACGGTCTACGGTCTGGACCAAACTGTGCAGTACGGTTTGGACCACTGTTTTTCTAACGGTTGGTCTATTTTCCCAGCCCTACCGTCTGTGACGCTGTTAAATCGTTTGACGGAACGCTGACGAGGACGGAATCCGACCTCCACATTAGCTACACTTCAGCAAAATGTACACGTGGATGCTACGTCAATAAAGCATTAAAAAAGTTAAGTTCTCCTTCCTCTCTCCCCCTACCACCACCTGTTAGCCGCCGTCCTCCCTCCTTTCTCCTTCTCTGGTTTTGATTCTTCAGAGCAACGACAAGAGGCTTGCTCTTTTCTTCTTCGTCTGACTCTGTATGCGGTGTGGATTCTCCTCGCCATCTAATGCACCCTCGACCCATTAAAGCACTAACGCAATCTCCGAGTCCCCTGATTTCATCTCCCACCTAGTTGAGATGTCGCTGTGGTCGCTGGTTCCCACAGAGAAAGACGAGCTGAACTCGCTGCAGATGTCGGAAATCAAGTTCCTGGGTCAGATTCAAGGCCCCGAGAGCTTGACCTTTGTTGATTTTGCTTACACTTCCAGTAATAGGTCAGTCAGACTACTGAATTAAAATTGGGCGTTTCCTAAATTCTTGGACACAGGCGACGGGTTACGGTGGGGAGGATATAGATCCGCCGACTAGAGCTTGAGGAGACTCAGAAGGATGAGAAGGATGATGAAGGCAGACCTCCGAAGACCTTATTTGAAGCAGAGAAAAGAGGGGGAGTAGCAGAACTCGATGTACGATGCTGGTCTAGCCTCAGATGTCACCATCGACGACGCTGCAGCTGTCCTGAAGAAGAGAAGCGCAGCTGGGATCTGATGGGTCCTGCTCCAGCTTCTTCACAAAATCTATTGCGCCTCCTTCTCTTTTTCTTCGTCGACATCGAGGAACCATCGACAGCCGGTTTTGCGGCGTTCCTGGGCGCTACTTCAGTTTTAGTACCACTCCAGGGAAGAAGAGAAGCGCAACTGGGATATGATGGGTTGACGGGATAGTGAAATTTTTTATGCTTTCGTTGACTGGGCTCAAGATAGGGTGAGTAACCTTAGGGTGAGTAATAATGAGTAACCAAATCTGGACCCTTCTTTTAAGTGGCTGCAGATCTAAGGGTGGAGAATTAAAGAAATTTATTTTCCCTAGTTTTCTTAATTGGATCATATCTTCTTCA